GATGCAGCTCATCCCAAGCTCTCGTTAGTCTGGCCCTGGGGACACCGCCACGGCCACTGCAGTGGTTCCTGTTCCCAGAGTGTCACCGTCCCCGCAGGAGGCAGAGGGGATGGTGTGGGGACAGGGTGGGGTCTGGATGGGGACACCAAGGGGGCACGGTGTGGGGACAGTATGGGGACACCAAGGGGGCACAGCCTCAGGACGGCCTGGGGACTGTATGGGGACACCAAGGGGGCACAGCCTGGGGACAGCATGGGGACACCAAGGGGGCACAGCCTGGGGATGTCATGGGGACAGTGTGCTGTCAGCATGGGGACAGTATGGGGACAGCACGGGAACATGATGGGGACAGCAAGGGAACACTACAAGGGCGGCATGGGGACACCAAGGGGACAGTATGGGGACACCGAGGGGACACACCATAGGGACAGCATGGGGATGGTATAGGGAGAGCACGGGGACATGAAAGGGATAGTATGGGAACAGCATGGGGACACTAAACGGACACACTATAGAGACAGCATAGGGATGGCATGGGGACATCAAAGGGACACCACAGGGTCAGTATGAGGACAGGATGGGGACAGCATAGGGACAGTATGGGGACACCAAGGGGACAGCAAGGGGACACCATGGGTGCAGTATGGAGACACCATGGGGACAGTATGGGGACACACCCTAGGGACAGATGATGGAGACACCAAAGGGACACACCCTAGGGACAGCATGGGGTCAGTATGGGGTCAGCATGGGGTCAGTAAAGGGACACACACTAGGGACAGCATAGGGACAGCATGGGGACAGTACAGGGATATTATGGGGACACCCCAGGGACAGCATGGGGGCACCAAGGGACACACCTTAGGGACAGCATGGGGACACCATGGGTACAGTATGGGGTCAGCATGGGGACAGTATGGGGACACCAAAGGGACACACTCTAGGGACAGCATGGGGACAGTACAGGGACACCACGGAGACAGTATGGGGACAGCAAGGGGACAGTACAGGGATGGTATGGGGACACCCCAGGGACAGCATGGGGACACCATGGGTGCAGTATGGAGACACCATGGGGACAGTATGGGGACACCAAAGGGACACACCCTAGGGACAGCATGGGGACAGTATGGGGTCAGCATGGGGACACACCCTAGGGACAGCATGGGGACAGTACAGGGACACCACGGGGACAGTATGGGGACAGCAAGGGGACAGTACAGGGATGGTATGGGGACACCCCAGGGACAGCATGGGGACAGCATGGGGACACGCCAGGGACACCAAGGGGACAGGGAGGGGACAGGTGGGGACACTCGGGGACTCACTCGGGTGTCATGTGCAGGACCTTGTCGATGGAGCCGTAGCCGGCGGCCAGGAAGTGCTGCGTGTACTGGGGCATGCGGATGGACTCCAGCCACTCGGGCACCGACGCGAAGGGGACCCCCCCGGGGACAGCCCCGCCGGGCAGCCGCAGGGACACCCTGCCACAGGGGACAGGGGGGCAGTCAGGGAAAGGGGCACAAAAAATAACGGAGAAATGGAAGGGTGCAAAAAATGGTGTGGGTATTGCAAGGTGCAAAAAGAGATGCAGAAATGGAAAGCTGGAAAAATCGAAAATGACAAAAATGATGCAGAAAGGGAAAGGAGCAAAAAAATGATGCAAAGATTGCAAGATGAAAAAACAGTGCAAAAACGGAAGGGTGCAAAAAATGGTAGAGGAGCAGGATGCAAAAAGTGATGCAGAAATGGAAAGCTGCAAGAATGCAAACCTGCAAAAAACTATGCAAAAAAATGTGCAAAGGTTCAAAAAGCAAAAATGCCAAGATGCAAAAACACAGCACAAGAGTGCAGAGATGCAAAACCCAATGCAAGGGTGCAAACCTGCAAACAATTATGCAAAAAAAATGCAAAGGTTCAAATGCACAAAAAAATGTGCAAAGGTTCAAAAAGCAAAAATGCAGCGATGCAAAAAGCAAGGCAAGAATGCAAAGCCACCAAAAATGATGCAAAAAAATTTGCAAAGGTGCGAAAAGCAAAAATGCAAAGGTGCAAGAAACTATGTGGAAATAGAAGGGTGCAAAAAATTGTTGCAGAACTGGAATGGTGCAAATCTGGTGCAAAAATTGAAAGACGAAAAAAAATATGTGGAAAGGGAAGGGTGCAAAAAATGATGCAAAGATTGCAAGACGAAAAAACGATGCAAAAATGGAAGGGTGCAAAAATGGCAGAGGAGCAGAAGGATTCAAAAAGTGATGCAGAAATGGACAGATGCAAGAATGCAAACCTGCAAAAAATGATGCAAAAAAACGTGCAAAGACGCAAAAAAGAGCGCAAGAATGCAGAGATGCAAAGAGCAATGCAAGAGCGCAAACCTGCAAGAAAAGAATGCAAGAAATTTTGCAAAATTGCAAAAAGCAAAAATGCAAAGGTGCAAAAAATCAACACGAAAATGCAGCGATGCAAAAAGCAATGCAACAATGCAAAACCACCAAAAATGATGCAAAAAAATTTGCAAAGGTGCAAAAAGCAAAAATGCAAAAGTGCAAAAAGCAAGCCAAAGGTGCAAAGGTGCAAGAGTGCAACACTGCAGATTGCACCCCCCTTTTCCCCCCTCCTCGCCCCCGTCCCACCGCTCACCGGGGGTCGAAGTCGGCCAGCGCCTTGAGCGCCTCGGGCGCGCGGACGAGCTTGTCGAGGATGCTGACGATGTCGGCGAACTTGGGGCGCCGGGTGCGCTCCTGCTGCCAGCACTGCAGCATCAGCTGGTAGATGGCGGAGGGACAGTCGGGGGGCGCGGGCATGCGCAAGCCCTCGTTGATGGCCTTCATCACCTGCCGGGAGGAGGAGGAGGATGAGCGGTGCTGCTGATAAAAAGGCTTTTTTGCAAGAAAATCCCCCCAAAAGCTGGGTGCTGGGAGAAGGCGGGTGCTGACCTCGTGGTTGGAGAGCTCCCAGTACGGGCGCTCGCCGTAGGACATCACCTCCCACATGACGATGCCGTAGCTCCAGACGTCGCTGGCGGAGGTGAACTTGCGGAAGGAGATGGCTTCGGGGGCTGTCCAGCGGATGGGGATCTTCCCTCCCTGGTACGATGGGAAAAAATGATGCAAAAGTGGAAAGGAATGATAAAGAAGGGCAAGAGCGCGAAGGTGCAAAAAAAAGCGACGCGATGCATGCAATGCAAGAGGGCGGAACTGCAAAAAAAGGATGCAAAAAAATTGTAAGGGTGCAAAAAGCAATGCAATGATGCAAAGATGCAAAAAAGCACAAGGATGCAGCAATGCAAAAAGCAGTGCAAGAACGCAGAACTGCAAAACCAATGCAGAACGTGCAAAGACGTGAAAAGCAAAAATGCAAAGGTGCAAAAAGCAAGGCAATAAGGCAAAGATGCAAAAAAGCACAAGGATGCAATAATGCAAAAAAGCAATGCAAGAATGCAGAACGTCAAAAAACTATGCAAAAAATGCAAAGGTGCAAAAAAGCAAAAATGCAAAGGTGCACAAACTGATGCAAAAATGCAGATATGCAAAAAGCAGTGCAAGAACACAGAACTGCAAAAGCGATGCAAAAAGTGCAAAGATGCGAAAAGCAAAAATGCAAAGGTGCAAAAAGCAATGCAACAGGAAAATGCAGTGAAAAAGATTGCAAGAATGCAGCGGTGCAAAAACCAACAGGAAAATGCAGTGATGCAAAAAGCAACACAAGAATGCAAACCTGCAAGAAACGATGCAAAAAATGTAAAGGTGCAAAAAGCAAAAATGCAAAGGTGCAAAAAGCAATGTAAAGGTGCAAAAACCAAAAATGCAAAGGTGCAAAAAGCAACAGGAAAATGCAGTGATGCAAAAAGCAACACAAGAATGCAAACCTGCAAGAAACGATGCAAAAAATGTAAAGGTGCAAAAACCAAAAATGCAAAGGTGCAAAAAGCAACAGGAAAATGCAGCAATGCAAAAAGCAATGCAAGAAAGCAAAACTGCAAAAAAGATGCAAAAACATTCAAAGGTGCGAAAAAGCAATGCAATAATGCAGATGCAAAAAAAAAAAGAGTGCAAGAATGCAGAGATGCAAAAAATGCAGTGACACAAAGAGCAAGAAAAAACACAAAACTGCAAAAAAATGGTGAAAAAAAACCCCACAAAAGTGCAAAAAGCAAAAATGCCAAGGTGCAAAAACCAACACAAAAATGCAGTGATGCAAAAAGCAATATAAAAATCCAGAACTACAAAAAATGATGAAAAAAAAAATAATCAACAGCACAAAAAGCAAAAATGCAAAGGTGCAAAAACCAACAGGAAAATGCAGCGAAGCAAAAAGCAATGCAACAATGCAAACCTGCAAAACACGATGCGAAAAAAAATTTGCAAAGGTGCAAAAAGCAAAAATGCAAAAGCACAAAGTAAAAAAAGCAAAGGTGCCCTTACGCTGGTGGTGTAGGTGGCTTCGGGGTCGTCCTCCAGCACCCTGGAGAGCCCGAAATCGGAGACCTTGCAGACCAGGTTGCTGTTGACCAGGATGTTGCGGGCAGCCAGGTCCCGGTGCACGTAGCTCA